CGCCAGCGGCCAGGCCGCTCTCGGACCACAGGTTGCCCGCCATGGCGGCCGCTGAGAGCGTCCAGGGTGGACACGGGAAGGTCTGCTGGGCGCTGCGTGTGCAGTGGTCCGGGTGCACCCGCCCTCTGGCTTAGAGGGGAGGGAGCGCTGGCTCGGAGCGCAGCAAGTCCTCGTATGTGGGTTGGGAATGGCCCTGTCACTTTCTAGATTCACTTACAATAAAACCAGTCTCCCTCTTTTTGGTCCCAAACCGAACGTTTGTTAGTCTCCTTTCAGGGCGGCGGGACTGGACTTACCGGGTCCTTCACTTTGTCGGTGATGTAACTGTCCTCCACCATGCTGTCCGCAGAAACAGGATACAGGCGGGGCAAAAGCAGGGTTACAGTTGTGAGCACGTGAAAGTTTATTCCTGTGCGATTATCAATTATTTGTTACTTTACATGCAAGCAACATAAACCTACTTTTGCCCCGCCCTGGATTGAATGTAACGGAAATATTCATGTTGGCAAATGATGTTGCATTGAAGGAGTTGTTTATGTGCCATTATGCCAGGCACACTAGGAAGTATGAAATAATCATACTGTTAATAAAAGACAAAAATCATTCTTTAAAAAAATGTTAGGGTTTTGTGTATGTAATACATTTGTTACACAATTTACCACCTTTAATTGGGGTTAGCTTGTTGCTGGGGCCCAGCTGATCAGGACTGGGTGAGAGGGGCTGGACGCGCCCTGGAGCTGTCCTGTGGTCCGTCCCCAGCGCCTGATCTTGCACAGGTGGGGTCCCTCGGCCTGGCCTGCGCCCTCTTCCAATCGGGATCCCTCTGGGGATGTCCGAGAGCCAATTTCAGCCCGCTCCCTTCAGGCCAGGCGAGGGACCCCACTGGTGCATAAATCCGTGCACTGGGCCTCTAGTGTGTGTGTGTGTGTGTGTGTATGTATATATACACTAGCGTGTGTGTATGTATATGTACACTAGCGTGTGTGTGTGTGCGTGTGTGTGTGTGTGTGTGTGTGTGTTAGCCAACATTTTTTGTTTCCTTCATTGCACTTAATTTGTTCCCACGACTGGAGCTACATAATGCATTTTGTTGTAGAAATGAACAGCTTTGGTTTTCATTCGGGCACATTACAGTATGTAATGCTTTCAATTCCAACCTTCTATGCAGTGGGCGCTTCGTGCTTTTTCCTATTTCAGTTGTTTCTGTCCTTTGGGTTCCAGTTTACCTTCCTCCTTCTCTTGTAGCTTTCTTCCAGCCTGGAGACACTGTCCTTTGGGAATGGGGGGTTCTTAACACAGTGTAGTCAATGACTCTTTCTTAGGCTAAATTGTAATCTGTGTAAGGGCAGGGCATAGCTTGTATCTGTATTTTGTATCCCTGTCAGTGCTAGCCATTTAATTGGTAATTGGTGAGCAATTGGAGAGGAAGGGGGTGATTTGTTATTTTGTTAAATTCAAGAAAAAGAAGGTGACAGTACAACCCCTTAGTGCAGCATGGCCCCCTCTGTCTAGTGTCATTACTTGGGTTCAAACCCCAGCTTCTCTGTTTATTAGCTATAACTGCTTTAGGCAAATTATTATTTTTAAAAAATGTTTTTATTGATTTCAGAGAGGAAGGGAGAGGGAGAGAAGGATAGAAACATCAATGATGAGCCCTAGTGGGTATGGCTAAGTGGATAGAGTGTTGGCCCACGGACCAAAGTATCCCGAGTTCGATTCCAGTCAAGGGCATGTACCTCGGTTGCAGGCTCAATCTCCAGCCCTGATCGGGGGCATGCAGGAGGCAACCAATCAATGTGTCTCTCTCACATCCATGTTTCTGTGTATCTCTCCCCCTCCCACTCTCTCTAAAAAGCAATGGAAAAATAGCCTTGGGTCAGGATTAACAAACAAACAAAACAAAAAACATCAGTGACGAGAGAGAATCGATTGGCTCTCTTCTGCACGTCCCTCAGTGGGGAAGGAGCCCACAACCAGGCATGTGCCCTGACCGGGAATTGAACAAAACTTGCTCAACCACTGAGCAATACCGACAAGGCAGATTATTTCACATATCTGTGCCTTAGTTTTCTCACTTGTAAAATTAGGGCTATGATGAGCACAGCAACAGTGTATCTCATAGGGTTGGTGGGAGGATTTAGTGAGCATAGATTTGTGAAACTTCTAGAAAAGTATCTGGCTGATAGTAAATGCCATTAGTGGAAATAATTGTTATAATTAGATATTTCTGACCATTTAAAAAGTGCCTCTTTCCCCCCCAAATTTAGGAGGATATGGCAAAAAAAGTGGCCGTAGTAAAAAATGGAGGGAGATGCTGAAGCTGCCCCCTGTTAGCCAGTGCAACGAGCTTAGACAATCCATGGGTGAGTAAATGGCTCCGCTGTGTCTGGGCATCTGGCATGGCATCGCTTCTTAGGTGTTGTGTCTTGAGTTCCTTTCTTGTTTCAAAAATTATATAGTACATGCTTCTATCTTCATGGTTCTTCCCGGGGAAATAAACCTGTCGGTTTCCTAATGGGAGTTACGAAGTGTATGGCTGGAGAAGTGACACTGTTAGCTGTTTCTCAGCCTCTTTCCACACCCAGTTCTCTGTGCATGTGGACAGAATGACTGATGATAACTTCAGGGAAGGATTAGTCTGATGGAAGGTGACCCGTCCATCACTGGAGCCCTGCAGCTGTGAGGAGTGAGTTAGCGACAGCCCTGATGGGCGCACAGGAAGTCAGATGTGCACCCTGTCTAAAGGGCAGTCATCATTGTATTTTTTAAAAGATGTGTTTTTCAGTTCAAAGGGTATATGCATTCAAAATTTTGATGTTGCCAAATTACTCTTCAGAGAAGTTGTATCAACTTACGTCCTGCCAACAATATGTTACAAGGTTCCTTTGCCTGTGACCTTGTTAACATTAAAGTAATGATATTGTTTTCAGTATTTTTAATAAAGATAAACAAACTATAATTTGAAAATAGTCTCGTTTTATTTATGGATGGAGTTGAGCATTTTCATGAAGTTTTTAAAATATTTTGCTTTTTCTAAATCATTTGTAAAGGCTCTTTTTGTATGAAAGGACCTTATCTTTAGATATTCAAATGTGAATATATTTTACATATCTGCTTTTTTGGCATACAGTATGTTTTCCCATATAGAGGTTTTAATTTTTTATGTAGACAAATATATCAATTTTCTTAGTTTTTGTACTTAGTCTTGTGCTTAGGGAAGACACCAAAGATTAACTTTTTTAAAAAAATCAATCCAGCGCTAACTGGTTTGGCTCAGTGGATAGAGCATCAGCCTGCGGACTGAAAGGTCCCAGGTTCGATTGAGGTCAAGGGCATGTACCTTGGTTGCGGGCAAATCCCCAGTAGGGGGTGTGCAGGAGGCAGCTGATCGATGTTTCTCTCTCATCTGTGTTTCTAACTATCCCTCTCCCTTCCTCTCTGTAAAAAATTAATAAAATATATATATTTTAAAAAATCAATCCATCTTTTCTTTAGTATTATAGTTCCTTTTTAAAGAAAGTTTAGATATTTTAACTATCAAAAATAATTTCAGCACTAGATGGTTTGGCTCAGTGGATAGAGTGTCGGCCTGTGGACTGAGGGGTCCCAGGTTCGATTCCAGTCAAAGACACATGCCTGGGTTGTGGGCTTGATCTCAGTAGGGGGTGTGCAGGAGGCAGCCGATCAATGATTCTCTCTCATTGATGTTTCTATCTCTCTCATTGATGTTTCTATCCCTTCCTCTCTGAAATCAATAAAAATATTTTAAAAAGTAATAAAATAATTTCAGACAGTATAAAGAAGGTAGTTCCCCCCAAGACCTATCCAGTTGTTTCAGCCTCATTATGTGTTTACAATGGCACCTTTATTGAGATGTGATTAACATGCCATACAGTTTACCTACTTAAAGTGCACAATTCAGTGGTTTTTATAGCTATGGAGTTGTGCAACCATTCCCACAATCAAGTTTACCTTTTTATCACCTCAAAGAGAAGCCCCATACCCATTGGGGTCACTCCCCATTCCCTCCCCCTTCAGTCCTAGGCAGCCACTAATCTGCTCTCTGGATTTGCCTTTTCTGGATATTTCATGTAAATGGAAACCATGTACTAAGTGATCTTTTATGACTGGTTTCTTTAACACATTTTCAAGGCCATTCATGCTGTAGCATGAATCAGTACTTAATTCACTTTTGTTGGCAAGTAATAGTCTGTTGTGAGGATATATTGCATTTTATTTATTCATCAGTTAATAGACATTGAATTGTTTTTATTCTTATGTCTATATATATAAAAGGCTAATATGCAAAGCGTCCCCTCGCGAGTTTGATCGCTCGCTGTGATGTGTGCTGACCACCGGGGGTGGCGTGGAAAAGGGTAGGTGACTGGTGGCAGTGGCGGAGCACCAGGGCAGCGAGGGAAGGAGGAGGCAGGGCGGTGGGGAACCTGATTGACCCGGATCGCTGGCCAGGCCTAGGGACCATTCCCATGCACGAATTTTGCGCACCAGGCCTCTAGTTATGAGTAACACTGCTACAGACATTTACATACAGATTTTTTATTGTGGTGAGAAATACTAAGATTACCATTTTAACCATTTTAACGTAAAATTCAGGGGCATTAATGTGGACAGCACATGTTAATTTAGATTTTGGTCACATCTGTTGGTAGGCATTGGGGACGTTTCTGCCTTTGGGCTGTTGTGAGTAAGCTGCTGGGAACGTTGGTGTGCTATGGAAACATTCATCTGAATCCCTGCTTTCACTTTCTTTTGTGTATATACTCAGGGTTAGAATTGCTGAGCGGTAGGGAATTCTGTTTGACTTTCCCAGGAAGTGCCACACTGTTTTCCAAAGTGCTGCACCCTTTACATTCTGCCAGCAGTGTATGGGGATTCCAATTTCTTTATGTCCTCACCAGCACTTTTTATTTTCCTTTTTGTTTGCATTGCAGCCGGCCGGGTGGGTGGGAAGTGGTATCTCACTGTGTTTTGCTTTGTAGCTCCCAAGACGAATGACGTTGAGCATCTTTTTATGTGCTTATTGGCCACTTATATGTTTTCTTGGAGGGATGTCTGTTAAAATTCTTTGCCCATTTTTAGTCATGGCCATTGTAGCTCAGTGGTTGGAGCATTGGCCCGAGCACTGAAGGGTTGCGGGATCAGTTCTCAGTCAAGGGCACTGCCTCGGTTGCGTGTTCACGCCCCGCCCCTCCTCCCTTTGCGGGGGGTGTATGTGGAAGGCCATAGAAGGATGTGTTTCTCTCACATTGATGTTTTTCTCTCTCCACCCTTCCCTCCCTTCCACTCTGAAAAATCAACCCTTGGGTAAGCATTTAACAACAGCTTCCTTGCCTGCATTTAAATGGGGCCGTCTGTTCATTGTTGGGATGTGAGCATTCTTCGTGCCCTCTGGCTACTAGGCCACAGCAGATACTGGATTTCCAAATATTTCCTCCCGCTTTGTGCTTTTCTCGCATTGTCTTGTGATGCCCTTTGAGGAAGTCCAGCTGGCCTGTTTGTGGCTGCTGCTTGTGCTCTGGTGTCGTAGGTGAGAAACCACCGCCCATCCCACAGCCACGAAGACGCCCCCTCAGCTCTCTCTGACATGTGGTGTTGGTCCAGCTGAAGTTAATCTTCGTGTTGGGGTGAGAGAAGGATCCAGTTTCATTTTTTCCCCTGGATTTCCAGTGGTCCCAGCCCCATTCATTGCAATGACTGTTCTTTCGCATTGAATTGGCACCTTTCTAAGAATCAGCCATGTTTGACTTTTCAAGGAGCTGCCTGACCCTTTTCCAAAGCAGCCGCAGCCCTGTCCATTCCCGGCCCTGCTCCTCCCTGAGCTGCATTTCCCTCCTGGCTGAGGACGACTGG